TTTGGGCCCGGGCCCCCCCACGTGCAGTTTCCCCCCGCAAGCCTTTGGTTATGTGACCCCTGGTGGTTACGTGACCCAAGGGTTCCCCCCCCCCCCCCTTTTCCCCCCAGGGCCCCCCCCCCCCCCAAACCACCCCACCCCACCCATCCCCCACCCCCACCCAGGTTGATCCCCTCCTCGATGCCGCCGTCGATTGCGTCGATGTGCTCGAGCTCGCATCCTTTGTGCAGGCCCCCCCCAGGCGCCCCTACGGCGGCGCGCAGCGCCGCTGCACCCCAAACAAAAACGCGCGCGCAGCGCGCGCCAGCGGCGCGCAGCGCCGCCGCAGGCGGCGGACAGCAGGTGCGCAAATTTAAACGCCATTTTCGGTTTCGCACTTTTGCCAAAATCTTCAAAATCCGGTACAAATCGACCGTTAGGAGATTTTCCGTGCGCAGCCGGCGGGGCCCATGGCGGGGGCTGGCCCCCCGCTGCCAGGCGGCCAGCCAAAAATGTTATAAACACCAAAATTGGGTTTACATAGTAAACTGCTTGCCAGAGGCCTCAGCAACTTTGTACATCATTTTGGTCCTTTCTGTGTGGGCATGAGAATCGTTGGAGGGATGGGAGGACGGCACGCCGCCACCACACAGGGATTTTAAAGGAGAGGAGTGTGCAGGTGCTAGCCGTCGGCCCGTCGCCCACCCTTGGGCGTCTACCTCTTCCGATCTCTCTTCGCACAGTCTCTCGCCAATTCTCGCGAGGGAGGGCGAGACGATCGAGGGGTCCCGTACCATGCGGAATCGACCCTATCCAGTGCTCAAGTGCGCAGTGCTCAATTCTCGCAGCGACCTTCGAGCTTCGTTCATTCATGCCACCTCGGTCCTCGCGGTCTTCCCACTCTCGTCGTTCTCTCTCCCTGTCTCTCTCCTCCTCTTTCATCCTCTGACTCATCGCTCTCCTCGGCCTCGTTCTGAGACGCCGCCGCCGCCTGTGCCGATCGATCGATCCCTTGCTATGGCGGCTTCTCTCGCCTCTCGGCGTAAGTCCGCTCTGCTCGCAGCGTATTTTGGCCCCTCGAGTTTATCGAGCCTTCCTCGCGAAGGACGACATTTCTGACTCAAAAGAAAGAAAGAAACAGACAACGCAAGGGCGGGGCCCGGACTGTCTCTTCGCAGGACCGGTCCCTTTTGTGTGTGTGTGTGTGTACTCATGAGACCTGTTGTGATCGATCGCGAGAGCGACACGCGCCGTGTGATCGATCGCGAGAGCGACACGCGCCGCGTGCTATTTTGCCGTGGCCTTCCAGCAAGCATCGACTGTCAGGCCCTACGTTACGCTTTCGGCTTGTACGGCACGGTCGAACGCGTAGTGCTTTCGCTCCCGCGGGGCGGCTCTACCCGTCTCAGCTGGGTGACATTCTCTGAGCCTCAAGCCGCGGCGGATGCCCTCGAGATGATGGGGACGCGCGACGAGGACATTCTTCGCGCCGGATCTGTGCACTGGGCGAATAATCAGGACGAGGGCGTTGCTGATTCTGACTCCCGTCGCTCCGTCTTGGACAAGGAGCTCGACCAGCAGCGGTCCGTCTGCAAGTTCTTCTCCGCCGGGAATTGCCGGAACGGCGAAAATTGCCGCTTCCGTCACGCGCGCTCGCAACCGCCTCAGGCAGCTGCGGCCAGCAACGCGCTTAACCCAGACGCCGCTGAGTTTGTGCCGAGTGGCGGCGGCGGCTTCACCCGGAGGTGGTACCCGGCTTCTGACGACGAGGGCGAGGACGACGAGGACGAGCAGCAAGAAGCAGCCGAGGCGGAGCGGGCGGCAGAGGTGCAGCGGGCGTCAGAGAGGGAGCGGGCGGCGGACAAGGCGGCCAAGGAGGCGGAGGCGGCCGAGCAGCGTCGGCAGAAGGCGTTTCGCGAGGAGACGGAGGTCAACCCGCCCGCCACCACCTGCACGCACGCACCACACGCCCCTCACCACCTGCCTCCCCCTCGCCCCCTCACCGCAGGTGCGCAGGAAAGCAGCGGAGCTTGCGGAGCAGATGCGGCGGAGCATGGCGTCGACCTCAACCGCGACATCGGCGACGGCAAACGCATCACACGGTGGTGAGGTTTCGTCGGCCGCTTCGCCTCCCGCGGTGGTGGAGCTGCGAGTACATCTCGGCGCAGGCAAGGCTGGCGAGATCATCGGGAAGGGAGGCAGCATCATCAAGGATCTGCGGCGCCGCGTCGCTCCGGCCACGCTCGAGGTGACTCGAGACGGAGGCGCCTCGGGGCAGGAGCTAGTCGTGAGGGGCTGGCCGAGCGACGTGGGTGCGGCGGCGCGTTTGCTCGAGTCGCGGCACGAGATCAAGTTTCCGGCTGCGGGCAGCGGCGCCGAGGCGCGGAAGGCGCCGGGAAGAGAGGGCCGACGGGAAGAGGCGTCCGGCGGACGGCGGCGGCAGCGGGAAGAGGCGGAGGAGCTCTCGCCCGGCCGCCGCCTCGCGGTCGCTGCCCCAAGGCCTTGGGACCTCGGGGGTGCGGAGGCGGACCCCCCCTCGCTGCAGCCGCGGCGAGACGGCCGCGACGCTCACGAGTGGGAGCGGGGCGGCTCGCCGTGCGCAAAGCGACAGCGGCAAAACAACGCAACAAGCGGTGTCCGCAGCAGCGGCGGCGGCAGCGGTGATAGCAGCGGCGGCAGCGGCGGCGGCGGCGGCGGCGGCGGTGGTGGCAGCGGTCGTGGCGGCGGCGGCGGCGGCGCAGCGAGTCGCCTGCCCACCACCTCGCCCCTCTCCCTGCTCCCTGACGCCGGGCCGGTGCGTGTCTTTCTCAGACACTTCCTAGACACTTCCTAGACACTTCCCTGACGCCGGGCCGGTGCGTGTCTTTCTGAGCACTTTAGCACGGGACCTCCCGACACCTGACCGGCAGGTCTGCTGTTTTGGTCGCAGGTGAAGCCCGCGGCCAACTTCTCCTGGGGAGAGTACCAGCAGGTGCAATTTGTGCCGAACAGCGACGGGCAGCGACGGTATCACCGGCAGCTGTCGTATGCGGACATCATCGTCGCCTACGGGCCCGCCGGGACGGGGAAGACCCTGTTCGCGGTGCAGGAGGGGCTCCAGCGGCTGCGCAAAGGCAGTGTGGCCCGGGTCCTCTCCTCTGCTGCCCGGACGGTGCTGTCCAAGAGACGCCGCGGAGAGTCTCGGACATGTCCCCTAGGTCATCCTCGGCCGCCCGGACCCCACTGGCCGCGCTGACGAGGACGAGGAGGAGGAGGCCAAGACACGGCTCCTGACGCCACTCTTCGACGCCATCACCAAGGTGATGGCCGACCACACGGCGGCAGACGCCCTGGCCGCCGCGCGGCTGCTCGAGACGCAGTCGTTCGCTGGCATGCGCGGCCGCACGCACGAGGCCGCGTTTGTCATCGTGGACGAGGCGCAGAACGCTTCGCTGGCGCAGCTGAGGCTTACTTACCAACGAGAGTCGATCGTTATTACTTAGGCGCAGAACGCGTCGCTGCAGCAGCTGAGGCGTCTCTCGGACCGATTGGGGGCCGTTGTTTTCCGTTCCCCCCCCCCCCCTCCCCCCCCCCCCCCACACACAACACTCCGCCTCTTCCTCTGCAGGCAACGGCTCGACGCTTTGCGTCCTCGGCGACGGCTCGCAGCCCGACCGGCGCGTGGGCGGCAACTGGTCGGCGGGCGCCGACGGCATCTCATCCTCCATCGAGGCGTACGCCAAGGATCTGGACAAAGCTCGAGAAACTGGCATGCAGACCAGGATCGAGGTGGCGCGTCTCACCAACGCGGACATCTGCAGGAGCACACCCGCGAGGGAGATGCGCGGTTTCTTCTCGCAGATCGACAGCGAGGAGCCTGCACCGCGCCGACAGCGGCTGGGCGGCGGCGCCGGCGAGCTCCTCCGGCAAGCCGTGGCGCCCTCCTCCGCTCGTGACGCCACGAGGCAGCGCGGCGACGAGGGTGCAATCTACGAGACTAGAGATGCGCATGGGAGGAGATGGCCGTGATTTTTGTTTGCCGTGGGTAAACAGCAGTGAAGCTTTGTGAGTTGTGTTTTTGGTTGCCTCAGTGGAGATGTGGAGTTATTGTTATAAATAGGCCGGCGGACAACCATTATGCATGAACAGTGTACCATTCGATCAGGTGTGTCAACCTCAAGCTCAACCTAGAGCCGTACAAACCAACCCGTTTTTACTCTACGATTAATGAATGAAAGAGGAATGCAGTCGAGAGGACAGGGGAGGGTGCAATGTTAGAAGGGGGGGGGGGGGGGGAGACAGACACAGGCCGCCGTGAGGGCGAGGCTGTGGCCAGCTCCAGCCGACACGCTCACGGCGCGCTCGTCACCCAGCGTTGACGGAAGGCGGGTCGGCGTGTTGAGCCTCGTCACGCCCTCGCCGTGGCCAAGCAGCCCGGGGATTGGGTTGTAGTCTCGCGCCGAGCCGCACGACGACAGCCGGGTCGGTCATATGGACTGCAGCTGGTCAGTGTCAGCGATTGCGTCGCGGCGTAGCGACGACACGGCTACTTTCTACGTCTCAAGCGGACGCCATCGATCGCCCTGGCCAGAAGACGCCCATTGGCGTCTTCAACCGTCTTGACTAGCTGAAAGATCCTGCTCCCCTCCCGCACCCACTCCCTCAGCATGTTCTTCAGCCCACCTGCGAGAGAGACCTGCTCCCGCACGGCCGAGCTCAGCAGCGGCCCAAGGGCACTGAGCTCCATCGCGCCCTCGGGTGCACCCTCCAGAATGCTTCTCGCCTCCTCCACGTGCTGCGGCTGGGGCTGCGGCGGCTGCGGCGGCGCGGTGGTGCGGCCGGTGCTGGGGCTGGGGCTGGGGCTGGGGCTGCGGCTGGGGCTGCGGCTGGGGCTGCGGTGGTGGTCGCTGCTGCGGCTGCGGTGGTGGTCGCTGCTGCGGCGGCGGCGGTGGTCGCTGCTGCGGCAGCGGCGGTGGTCGCTGCTGCGGCTGCAGCTGCGGCTGCAGCTGCGGCGGCGGCGGCAGTTCCTGCGCCGGTTGAGAAACAGGCGCCGCCAGGAAGATGGCACGTTCGCTCGGCTCCACCGCAGGCGTCGCAGCGGGCTGGGACTGCTGCGGTGGCGGCTGCTGCTGGCGCGGTGGTGGCGGCGGCGGCTGCGGCGGCGGTGGTGGTCGCTGCGGGGTCGGCGGCGGTTGCTGCGGCTGCGGTGGCAGCGGATGAGGTGGCTGCACCGGCGGGAGAGGCGATGCCTGTAGCCGCGCCTCGCCCACGGTCAGAACACACGGCACCGCGGAGACCGCCTCTACGGTTGTGAATTCGATGAGCGCTAGCCGTCCGCCCCGGTGTGGCGTCACAAACTCCAGCTGCCGCACTACGCCATAGCGGTTGTACGCCGTGCGGAGCTGCGCCACGCCTGCCAACTCCGCCTGGTGGATTGGATGAAGTGACATGGTCCTCATCGGGTCCCATGCCGCCTCGTCGAAGTGCTGAGCGGGGGGCGGCGGCGGTTGCAAGCGCGGAGGCGGTGGCGGCGGCGGTTGCAAGCGCGGAGGCGGTGGCGGCGGCGGTTGCAAGCGCGGAGGCGGTGGCGGTGGGGTGAGCTTCTGCTTCTTACCCGCTGCCCGCGGCTCCACCTCCACCGCTCGCTTCGAAACCGGCCCGCCGGGAGTAGTGGCAGGTGAGGATTCGGCGGCGGCAGAGGCGGCGGCAGGGACTGCGGAGGAGGGGGCGGCGGCAGAGGCGGCGGCAGGGACTGCGGAGGAGGGGGCGGCGGCAGAGGCGGCGGCAGGGACTGCGGAGGAGGGGGCGGCGGCAGAGGCAGCGGCAGGGACTGCGGCCGCCATCTGCCCTGGGCTGATGAATGAAGTGCTCACGGCTGAACCGTCGAGCCTCTTCTGGCGCTTGTGCGACTCAGAGGAGCCCGGAGCGGCCGCGGCGGAGGGTTTCGCAACCATGCGTACCGTGCACGTGCTGCCCACAGTCACAACCTCAAAGAGGCCACGGGAACAAGCCTCGATCCGGTCCTTGGCCTTTGCACTCCCCTGCGACCCAGCGTTCCGCCAAGCCGGGATCATCCGATCCAGCTCTGTGCAGAGGCAGCTCAGTAACAAGCTGCCGCCGCGGGCTCGCAGGAACGAGGCAGCGACCGCACGAGCCGCCTCGGCGATCGCGCGCTCCGCCTCTCCCGCGGCAGCGCCGCTGCCCGTGTCGGCGACTGTCGGCGCCGATGCGAAAGACGCCTCTGGACACAGCCTGCTCACGTCGGCCTCGGCGCTCTCCAGGGCGTCCTGAAGCGCCTGCGCCTCCTCCGCCTCCACGAGCACCGGCCGCAGCGCAGCCGACGCCGCATCCGCTGCGTGGTTGAGCAGCGAGTCGCCGTGCAAGAGGAGGTGGTCGCAATCAGAGGCACGCTCGGGAGTCCTCTCAATGAGACGGTAGTTGCGAGGGTCCCGCTCCGACACGAGCTGGTCGTCGGCGCCCGCGAGATGATACACCGCTTCGCCATTCTCGTCAAACGCCTTGGCTTTTAGAAGGCGGTGGATTGCTTCTTGCAGGAGGCGATAGCAAGGCCGCAAGCCGTTGGCGAGGGCAGAGAGGCAGCCACGGCCGCCGGGCAGCAGAAAGTCGGCCTCCTCGATGCACGCGTACACCTCCGCATCAATCCTGGAGGCGATCGGCTCCTGCTGCAGCAGGTGCGACGGCTCGACACCGAGGGCCCGCCGCGCCTGTCGAAGCCGCCCGCCGAAAGCGCGCAGCACATCGAGCGGCGAGGGGTGCTCCGGCAACGAGACGAGAGTGGCGTAGAAGCGCGCCGCGGTGTCGAGCTTGCCGCTGGAGTCGAAGAGAAGCCATACCGACGGGTCATCAACGATGCGCTCGTGTGCAACGTCTGCGGGTACATCATGCCAGTACAGCTTCGGATTGGGACCGTCCGCGGGCACGTTCTGCGGGATGAGCCAACCTTCCGGCGCTTCCGGGTCCGGCTCGTACGCCTTGTAGTTGGAGAAGGTTTTCATCGCAAACTGCACCGCCGCGTACAGCTCGTAGCAGGGCTCGATCAGCGCGTACGAGGCGTTGCACACCGCCTCGACCACCGACCCGGCCGCGTTGCCGGCACGCTCCGCGTCGTCAAAAAGGCGCGCCGCGCAACGGCAGGAGCAGATGCTGTCGTGCAACCCTTGCGCCTGCGCCCCTTGCGCCTTTCTCGTGAGGAGCGCGATGGTGCGCACGCGCCACTCCAGAACAGCAGCGGTGACGTGGTACTTGGCGAGTCCACGCTGCAATCTCTCGCCAACAGCGACGAGAACCGCGCGCCACTTGACGGCTAAGCCCCTGTACGCTGGGTCGGGCTGGCGCAGCGCGTGTGCTGCCTGCTGCCGCGCCGTCACCACTGCCTCCGACAGCGCGAGCGCCTCCCGCCGCAGAATCGCAGCGCTCGCCTTGGCCTGCGCCGGTTTGGCGCTCATCAGAGCTGACGCGCTGCTAGAGCTTGGCCGCTCGTCTCGCTCGCGACCGCTGTCCGCTACCGCCCGCGGGCGTTGCGGCGGCCGCTCGACCGATGACGGCAGCAGCAGTGGCTCAGCCGACGAGGGCGGCGGCGGCGGCGGCGGCGGCGGCGGCGGCGGCGGCGGCGGCGGCGGCGGCGGCGGCGGCGGCGGCGGAAGAGGCTCGCACGGGCCGGGAAGCTCGCGCTTCGCCTCACGTGCAGAGGTCGCCCCCGACGTTTCGCTGCTGCTGCTCGCCCGGGCGGGCTCTGCCTGCAAGTTGAGCGAGCCGAACGGGCGGGATCGCCTCGCGATGCGATAGGAAAGCTTCTTGACCGGGGTTGGCTCCGCCCCGGCCGCCGGCGCCAGCGCCGGCGCCGCTTCCCCTCCCTCTGCCGCCTCCGCGGAGGAGCAGATCACGCCCGCCAGCTCGTTGGGCTTGCTGCGCGAGGAAGCGGGTGATGCATCGCTGTCGCTGTCCGATCCCTGCGAGGCCGAGAGCGCGGATCGCTCCGCCTCGCGCTGCGCCACGAGCTCCTCCGCCCTCGCGACCAGTGCCGGCGGCAGCTCGCCCTTTCCCACCCACTCGTCGTCCAGCTTTGCCCCGCGGAGCCGGCCCTCCTCCTGCTCCGCCGCCTGCTCGTATCCGCCGTCGCTGATCCTCCCGCGCGGGCGGCGAGGGCCGGATGAGGGCGCCGGCGGACGCCCTAGCAGCGGCGGCAGCCTCGCGCCGCACGCCTGACAGCTCCGCGCCTGCGGGTCGTCGCAGAGGAGCGTGCACGTCGAGCACGCGCGAGCCGGGGCCCTCGCCGCGTCCTCTGCCGAGGTAGCCGCCGCGTCCTCTGCCGAGAGCGCACCCGTCATGTGCGGCTCCTCCTCATCGCTTGAAGTGTCGAAGGCGTGGAGGTGCTGCAAAGAGGAGGTAGTATCGTCACCTTCAAAGCCGACAACCTCCAAGTCGTCGAGACCCCAGTCGTCCAAATCTTCGTACTGAGTCTCGCCGTTGTCGTACGCGACGCAGAGCCCACGCCGGGAGGAGTAGCTCTTGATCACGCCGGCGAACCACTCCTTGTCTCCCTTCTCGGTCTCCCACCTGAAACGCACGTGTGTGCCCGCGGGGAGCATCCTCGATCGGATCCTCCCGCCCATCACACCCGCTTCCGCCGCTTCCGCCGCAGCCGCCGCCGCTCCCGCCGCCGCCGCTTCCGCTGTCGCCGCTGCCGCCGCCGCCCCCGTCGCGTCCTCCACCTCGCACTCCACTTCCAACTCGCTCTCAGCACCGGACTCGTGCCCGGAGGAGGCGGCGGCAGCGGTTGCCACGAGCCCAGAGGGCCTCGACTCACCGCGGCCGGAAGCGCTGGCCGCCGCGGCAGCGGAGGTGTAGTCCTTGCCCTCAGGGCTGACGTACTTCCAGTGGCTGTTCTTAGCCGCATTGCGGCAGGCCTCGCGGATGCGCCACCCGGCGTCAAAGGCGCCCGGCCACAGCTTGCGGTCGGTGGTCGCGCGGTCGCGCTCTGCAAGCGCCGGCTTCTCCACCCGCGCGTCTGCCCCCCCAGACACCCGCCCCTCGCCCGTGCCACCGCGAGTGGAAGCCTCCCCGCGGCAACGCTCCGCCGCCCCCACGTCGGCTGGAGTGGGCGAGGACACAGACCTGCCGGGCTCTGCGCTCGCCCACTTTGCTGCTGCTCTGCGGCCGCCCTCATCGACCCGCAACGCCTGTCCGCCGGCCTCAGAGGCCTCGGCCTCCTTCCAGGGCCGTGGGTAGGCGGGGCCGTAGTCCCACGTGAGCTCGACGCCCGCGGGGATGTCGTGCGCTGCCTGGAGAAAGGCGCGCTTCGGGAGCACGCCGTCTGGATTCTTGGCCGAGGGCTTCTCAAAGCGAGGGATGTAGACGAGGCGGAGGTTGGGCGCCTCCTCCGAGTCGTTGATGAAGCGCCACAGCCCCCCCTCCGTCTTCGGGTCGATGTACTGCAGCCGATCGCCCGCCGCGCGCTTAGCCTCGCTAATATTCTCGGGGAAGCCCACCGCGTAGGTCTTGTCCTCGAGCTGCTCGTACTCCTCGAACGAGAGGCAGCGGCCGACGATCTCCACCACAAACTCCGTGTCCTTAATGTCTCGCGTGCAGCGCAAGCCCCACCCGCGCGTCGGACCCGCAAAGAAGGCCTCCAGCTCCTTGTACGGCACCCACTTGACGTTCGGGTCGACGCCGGTCAGCATCTCATCCGCAGGGTAGGGCGCGCGCCACTGCCGGCTGCCATCGGCCGCGACCCAGAAGCTCCCCTTATCGTTGATGTCCTCGTAGCAGTGCGTAGTGGCGGCGGCACGCGCCTTCAGGCCGGGGAGCCGGTCGCGGTCGCGCTGGTCGAGCGCGAGGGGCGGCGGCTCGAGGCCCTGCGGAATGGGCGCGGCCATCAGCGTCGTGTTTTCGAAGGAGGTGACGAGGCCGCGCTGCTCCAGCGAGCTCATCGCGCTCTTCTCCGCCGCGCCGCAGAACTTTTTGGCGTGCAGCCCCTGCCGGACCCAAAAGGCACGAGACTCGTCTGTGGCTGAGACGACGAGGGTTTGCAGGCCGAGGCGGCGACCGAGCCCTGCGAGGGCCGCATAGAGCGCAGAGCCGAAGCCTTGCCCCCGGAATTTCTTGGCTGTAGCGAAGAGAGGGACCTCGAGCACCGAGCCAGCACGCACGTGCACAACTGCGGCGGCGAGCACATGTCGCGTCTCGCTGTCAAGAAGTACGGCGCGCTCAGCGTCCTTGAAGGGCCCGGTTAAATCGAGCGCGGCGCGGTTGTCGCTAAGTGAGCCGAAGGACGCCTTGAGCAGCTTTGTCGCCTCAACACCACCAGCGCTGGCGCCTCCGCAATCCAATGCCAGCTTTCTCGGTGAGAGCAGCGCCGCAATCGCAGCGTCGTCGCACGGCAGCTGCAGGGCCGGGCTGGACGCAGGGCGCCGCCCGCTTCGGCGAGGTGGCGTTGGCCCGACGTCTGGGCCAGGCGGAGGCAAATCCTCGCCGAGCCTCGCTCCGCACATTGGCAGGTCAGTCTCGGGCCTCGCTCGCGGGCAAGGTCATTCTCGGGGCAAGGTCTGGTCCCGCGAGCTGAAAGTGTGAACAGGTGGGAGCAGCAGCTTCTGACCACGGCGCCGCAGGCGCCTGTTGATAGGTCCAGGTGATAGCCCTGGATGGGCAATGCATACGCCTCACTGGGCCTTAGATCGCCCGACCGCGTCCCGGTGCTCTGCCGGCCGTCGGATTTGTGACTCCGCCGCACCGCGCCGCGGCCGGGGGCCCTCCGGAGGCCGAGGATGGCCGTGACGGACCGGGACGAGCTCTGGGAGGTTCAGTGTCAGTGTATATATTGTAGAGACCAACCATGTCCACAATATCTCTCAGTCTAGCTAAGCCTGGGAAGGCGATGCCGGGGCCGTACAGCAGCTTGATGGTGCTTCGCCGGCGTGCGTCCCGGAGCGGTCCCGGACGGGCGGTCCGGGGGAGGAAAATGGAGGACAACGCCGACGCCGCTCTGATTCGACTTTTTACTTCAAACAAAGACAGTCGCACGCGCGGCGCGTGCGACTGTCAGGAGCAGATCCGTCAGTTAGTCGTGTTCACGCCGGGATCGTGTCCTCCACAACCTGGGCAGACTTTCGCCTTGGACAGTACAGCTCCGAGGGTCAAAGGTCAGTGCCGGCCCTAATTAAAAGGATTTTGTGAAGAAAGAGCTCAGCCGTAAGCTGCGTGTGTGTCACACACCGTAAGCTGCCCCCGATCCGATGCCGCCAGTCTGCCACACCGACTCAACAAACAAAACAATGACGCGTGAGTGTTAGAGTTGTGCGGTCCGCGCGCGGAGTTCGCCCCACAAGGCACCCCCCCCCCCCCCCTCCCTCCCCGTCTCAAGCGACTCAGCGACAACAGCACAACACCCCAGCACACGTCTCAGCGCATGATGACCCTGCGGGAAACGCGTCCTCGACGGAAGCTCCCAAGCTCCACCCAGAGAGAGAGTCCGCAGGGTGGTGGTCACGCGCCTCTTCTGAGCAGCTCGCGCTATGAGCGCTGGGCCGCCTCCGCTGCCATCCTGGCGGCGGTCGCCCTGGCCCTCGCAGCGACTGCAGCAGCACGCCTCGCCTCTGTCGCGGCCGCCGCCTCCTCTCGCGCCGCCTCGCGCCCCTCGCGAGCCGCCGTGGCCTTCCCCAGCGTCGCCTTGGCCTCCTCAAACGCCACTCTGGCCGCCGCCTGCGCCGCCTCGGCCGCCTCCTCCGCCGCCTTGGACTCCGCCTGTGCAGCCTCGGCATCCGCCTCCGCCGCCTCAGCCACCGCCTCGGCCTTCTCCTCCGCCTCCGCCTCCTCCTCCGCCTCGTCCGCCGCAGCGTCCAAGCGCGCCGCCTCGGCCACCTCGGCCGACGCCGCCGCCTGGCTCTCCGGCGTGATGCCGAGCCGCATCCTCTCCTCGGTGAGCGTCTCGAGAAGCCGGAGAAGCCTCGCCTCCTCGGCCTTCTTCGCCGCCTCGGCTGCGTCTGCCTCCGACGGCGCCTCGGGCTCCTGCGACGGCCCCGCCCCGCCCGCCCCGCCACCCTTCTTCTTCTTCTTGCCCTTCTTGCCCTTGGCGCGCTTCTTCTCCGCCTCGACCTCCGCCAGCAGCTCCTCGGCGTGCCGCGCCGCCTCCTTCTCCTCCGCCGCCCTCTGCGCCGCCCTCTCCGCCGCTCCCGCGGCCCACGCCGCCTCCGCCGCCGCCGCCTCCGCAGCCTTCTCCGCCGCCGCATGCTCCGCGAGGGCGCGCACGCACTCGGCGTGGCCCTGCTCCTTGGCCAGCTGCAGCGCGGTCTTGCCAGCCGTAGTGCGCAGCGTCACATCTGCGCCCCCCCGCAGCAAGCAGAGGAGGGCGGCGAGGTGGCCGCGGGAAGCGGCACAAATCAGTGCAGTGTTGCCGTAGTGGCACTGAAGGTTGATCTCCGCGCCGTGCCGCAGCGCCAACTCGATCAGCTTCTCGAAGCCATTCGCGAAACTCAGCGCGGTGGCGCCACTGCTGTTCTGCAACGAGACATCCGCGCCGCGCTGGAGCAGCGCCGTCGCCAGCCCCTCGTGGCCATGTGCCATCGCGAGCATCAGCAGCGTCATGCCGCTCACAGGGCCGTCCGCAAAGACGTACACAAACGCCGCGTCGACCCGCCCGCCGCCGTCGAGCCACGCTAGCACCGCCTCCTCGCCTCGCCGAGCCGCTTGCACAACCTCCACTGGCACCGCCCCGCTGCTCGGCTCGGCCTCCTTGCCTCCCTCGCCGCTCGAAGCAGAGGCCGCGGCACTCGCACCCACCGCCGCGCCTGCGCCGCCTGCCTCGGCCGACGGCGCCTTGCTCCGGCGCGCAGCCACCTCCCCGAGGTACGTCTTGAAGGCCTGGACGCACTCGGTGTGGCCCCTCTCCTTAGCCCACTGCAGCGCCGAGAAGCCATCCGGATCGCGCAACGTCATGTCTGCGCCCGCCCGCAGCAAGCGGAGCAGGACGACGGGGCGGTTGAAGTAGGCGGCGAGCATTAGCGCGGTGCAGCCGTCGCTGTCTTGCAGGTCGATCTCCGCGCCACGCCGCAGCAGAAAGTCGACCATCCGCTCGTGTCCACACTGGGCGGATGTTACCAGCGCCGTCCCGATCTCCGCACCGTTTTGCAGCAGCACGTCCACCATCCGCTCGCGGCCGCAGTAGGCTGCAGTGCTGAGCGCATTGATGCCGAGACTGTTCTGCAGGTTGATGTGTGCGCCACGCTTCAGGAGGAGCTCGACAATCTGCACGTGCCCTCTCTGTGCGGCGAGCATCAGCAGGGTGCATGGAGCCGTGCTGACCTCGGAGGGTCGTTCACAGTCAGCATCGAAGAGCGTGTCCGCCTTCCCGCCCTCATTCAGCCACAGTCGCACCGGTCCCACGCAGCCGTCGGCAGCGGCCTTGAGGACGTTCTTTGGGACTTCACCACCCGGCGCGCTGTCAGCAGACGGCGGCGGCGGTGGCGTGCGGAGCGCGGCGTTGGCGCGGGAGCGCGAGGCGGGCATGACGGCTGGCGCGCTGCCAGTGGTGACCCGGGCGCGCACGATTTCTTTCGCCAGTTACCGCGACCGCTCGGGACCGCTCGGGACCGCTCGGGACTGCTCGGGACCGCTCGGGACCGCTCGGGACCGCTCGGGACCGCTCGGGACCGCTCGGGACCGCTCGGCCTCGCTCGGGGGCGCGGCTGGGACATTTGCGGCCCGCCTCCGGCTGGCTGGGCTGCACGGCTGGGCGGCGCGGAGGTGCTGCAGTGAGAAGAAATTGTAAACATCATGAGATTAGCAGCAAAAACAGCAAAGCACTCAAAAAACTGCGCCGCGATGTGCGGCGGGCACACCGGCCACGGGCCAAACACATCATACCTAGGTCCCTTCATACGCTCCTGGAGCCCAACCATGTGCGCCGCGATCTTCATGACCGCGGCAAGCAGGGTGAACGAGCCGCGCCACGTAGTGCACAGAGCCATACGGTTGTCCACTACCTGGCCAATGAGGTGCTCCACACGCCCACGGTAGTGCTGCACCGTCTTGTTGAACCGTTGTTTCTCGAGGGACAGGTTCCGGCCCTTCCATTCTGTGATGATCTGCCGCTGCCCGACGTAAGCCTTGCTTGTCCCCAAGACCATACTCCCATGGCTTGATCCGCGCCTGCAGGAAGCTGGCCCAAGCGCCGCGCCCCCGCCGGTCGAACTTTATTTAGCATCTAGGCCGTTGGGACAGCTCGGGACGGCTCGGGACGGTTTCGAACATTGCTACTCCGTTGTGACCGTGCATGCATCCAGGAGTGCCAGAGACCCTTAGACACCATTGGCTTGGGAGGCTTCGCAGCGTGTTTCTTGTAATGACCAACATCCAATACCGTCCGTCCGATTGCTGCCGTCATTTGGCGAATTAGCAACCATGACGCCCCTCCCCACTGTGGTTTGAGCGCGCGTGCGCCGATTCTACCCGGCTTCTACTCCACGCCCACCTGAATCCTGAGGCTGCGCAATGACGTCGCTCTTTCTCTCCTCCTTAGCGCTTCCTCCGCCGCCCCCCGCACTGCCACCCGCGGGCACCGAGGCAGCAGCCCACTTTCTGTCTGAGCTCGGCCCCGGTATCAACATCATGGCGACCATGCTGTGCACTTTTTCTGTTGATGAAGCCGACTTCGAAGGGCTGTCCTCGCGTGTTGGGCATGTGCGTCTCGCGGGGAACATCCTCCGGGCGCGTGCTCTCTCCGCGGCCGGTCCGCTGCAGTGGACAGGGTGAGGATGTGCTGTGTTGCATCGCCATAGGGGCTGCACAACTTCAGTACCTGTCCAGCCACAATTTGGCAATTTTCGGGTGGCAATGACAAGGGCGACATGGCCGCGATATTGGAGGACGACAAATGCTTCAAAAGGCTCAAGAAATGGGTGACGGTTTCACTGAGATACGGGCTTAAGGCGAGGAGTGTCGCAGATGGAGACTACGCGAGGCAGACATTACGCACAACAGTCTACTGTTCATAGGTGGTGCTCGACCCGATACACAAGCCCCTATGCTGTGGCTTGGAGCTTGATCCCATCACCCTGAAGTTGGTGTGGGCTGCGCTCATCACAGCCTTCCCGTTGGGTGAGTTTCCCGCCGATATGGTGCTCGCCGCACGCGGTTGCGCCCTCCCCCTCCTCCGCCTCCCCCCCCTCGTCGCCCCGCAAGTCGTACTGCATCGCGGCCATCAAAGCACGCGCCCCACCCGAGTGCTCTATTTCATCTTTCAACACACGCCTTTTTCCCTCCAGCCGCGGCCCACGTGCGAGGTATGCCCTGCATTGATCTCATAAGCCCGAGCCTTCTGCGCGCAGGTCGCCTTTGAGCTCATCAACGAGCCAGGGACAAAAATGTCTGACTTGATGAGATTTGGAAGACCGAGAGCGCCGCCCGTAGCCTCACTGCTTGCGGATTTGGTCCAGCAAGTGCACGCTGCGCAGCCGACAAGGGTAGTCATCGTCGCAGGCGAGCAATATGCTCGCTGTGATGAACAGCGTGCACGAAGCAGGGAGGCAGTTCTCTTCGACGCCAAGGAGATCAATCAGTTTGTCGACTGGCCGGGTCCGGTCGTGGCCACGTTTCACTACTACGATCCTCGGGAGTTCACCAGCTTTATTCCCGACGTCACTGACCCGGAAAAGATCGTCTTCTGGAACCAGAGCCTGGGCTGGCGCGCCGTTCACGAGGCCTTCGCTGAGGTCAACGACACGATCAGGCTGCCAGGTGCACCGCACGCCTGCTTCTCCCTTCCTCTTTTCGTTCGGCCTTTATTTAGTTGGCACCGCCCTGTCCTCACACTCTCCCTCTGCGCCAGTGTACCTCGGCGAGTTCGGCGTCAACTACGACTTTATTGATGCTGGCCATGCTGTAGATTGGATCAGCGCAGTCCGCGATGCCGCAGAGTATTTTGGCTTTCAATGGGCGTACTGGTCATACATTGCCGGCAAGAAATTCGCCGTCTCACAACCGACGGCGGCGCTACGGCTGCACGAGTGGGACTGCAGCCCGCTGATGGTTGCGCTCTTTGACCATCCGATCAACACCACTGACTGTCCCGAACGTATCGAAACAGAGGCAGCCGACTTTTGGAGCGACGCTCGCGCTCTGAATCCTCGCTTTTTGAGCGTGTGGGCAGCACGTGAATGGAACTACGCTCTGTCAGAAATTGACAATACAACCACGTGCAACGACGAGAGGCCCTGGGCGCCAGTTGAACCGATAGTCGTACTCGCCTCTGACTGGGTCGGCTTTAGGCAGGACTGCGAGGATTACGTGTCGCCTCCGCCCCCGCCTTCGCCACCACCCGCAGCACTATTGCTGCCGCAGCCCCCCTCCGATCCGCCACCATTGCTGCCACCGCCACCGCTGCCACTCAAGCCGCCCACCGTGCCACCACCACCACCTTTGCTACCGCCGCCAAAGCTACCCTGGCTGCCGCAACCTGCCCTGCCATCACCTGTGCCGCCGCCGCCCTTCCCGCCACCACCTGCCCCGCCGCCGCCCTCGTCGCCGCCACCTGCCCTGCCGCCACCTGTGCCGCCGCTGCCCACGCCGCCGCCGCCGCTCCCCCCGCCGCCCTCTCCGCCGCCGCCCTCGCTCTCGCCCTCGCCGCCGCCTCCCTCGCCGCCGCCACTGTCCCCGCCGCCGCCCTCGCCGCCGCCACCGTCCATGCCACCCTCCACACTACCGCAGGAACCGCCCACCGCACCATCCTCCGAGCCGCCCTCCGAACCGCCCATCACGCCGGCGCCGTCGCTGCCACCATCCTCGCCACCGCCAGCCTAGCCTCCGCCACCCTCGCCGCCAACAAAATCGCCGCCACCACCTGCCCCGACGCCACCCTCGCCGCCGCCGCCCTCGCCACCGCCACCAGCCCCGCCGCCACCCAAACCGCCGCCACGCAAACCGCCGCCACCTCCACCGTCGCCGCCGCCACCCTCGCCACCGCCACCTGCCCCACCGCCACCCTTGCCGCCGCCGCCCTCGCCGCCGCCACCTGCGCCGCCGCCGCCCTCGCCGCCGCCACCCTCGCCACCGCCACCTGCCCCGCCGCCACCCTCGCCGCAGCCGCCCTCGCCGCCGCCACCCTCGCCACCGCCACCTGCCTCACCGCCACCCTTGCCGCCGCAGCCCTCGCCGCCACCACCTGCGCCGCCGCCGCCCTCGCGACCGCCGCCCTCGCCACCGCCACCTGCCTCACCGCCACCCTTGCCGCTGCCGCCCTCGCCGCCGCCACCTGCGCCGCGGCCGCCCTCGCGACCGCCGCCCTCGCCGCCGCCACCTGCCCCGCCGCCACCCTCGCCGCCGCCACCCTCGCCGCCGCCACCCTCGCCGCCGCCACCCGCCCCGCCACCACCAGCCCCGCAGCCGCCCTCGCCGCCACAACCCACACCGCCGCCACCTGTGCCACCACCGCCCTCGCTGCCGCCTCCCTCGCAGTCGCCGCCCTCGCCACCGCCACCTGTACCTGTCCCGGCTCCTCCTTCGGCACCCTCACCCTCTCCCGTGCCGGTGCCGGTGCCAGTGCCTCCGCCACCGGCACCACCCAAGCCACCACCACCACCGCCACCAACGCCACCGTCACCCACGCCATCGTCGCCACCCTCCATGCCTGTCTCACCCTCTCCAGCGCCCCATCCACAACCCCCGCCGATCCTCCCGAACCCATCTCGACCGCCGCCCGTGTCATCGCCTTCACCATCGCTCTCACCGCCATCACCACCATCGCCCTCGCCGCCCGCTACTTTACCCAGCCAATGCGAGCAATTCTGCGCGATCAAGACGTTCTCCTGGCGAGTGCGATGCGCCTGGACTGGCTGCGGCGCGTGCACCGAATGCCTGCCAACGCCGCTTCCGACCCCTGTGCCGCCAGCCTCGCCACCACCGCTGACATGCAGACCTTTCTGCGCGATCAAGACGTTCTCCTGGCGAGTGCGATGCGCCTGGACTGGCTGCGGCGCGTGCACCGAATGCCTGCCAACGCCGCTTCCGACCCCCGTGCCGCCAGCCTCGCCACCGCCGCTGACATGCAGACCTTTCTGCGCGATCAAGACGTTCTCCTGGCGAGTGCGATGCGCCTGGACTGGCTGCGGCGCGTGCACCGAATGCCTGGCGCCGCCTGACCCTTGACGACAGCTTTTGCGGCGATCGAGTACAGCGGACTTTTCGATGCAGCCTGGCCATGCACACCCCCCGCTCCCCCCCGGGACATGACGCGGGGTCTCTCCATCCAACAGCAGACACACCTCACATCAATTCTGACTACTATGCATGCGTACGTACGAGATAGAAACACCTATGTACTATCACCGCCGTCGGCTCTCGTCGCTCATGCATGCAGCGCTCTGTGGTTCTGCTGCGCCAGCCGCCACATGCCTTAGTAGCCGCAATTTACCACTGCGCGAACGTGCCTGCCTCAAGGCCTTCCGTCATGGTCGGACCGGAGAGGCGTCGGCCGCGCTGGGTATCGGCGCTTGGCGGCATGGCAGAGCTCTTGTGCTCAGACTGCGCTCGGACGATCGTCGACGACGGCTGGAAGTGCGTGCGGTATAGGTACCCACCTCCGAGCCCGTACACTGCCACGAGGGCAACCTTGCGGCCAGTCAGTATCCAGGCCTCGGTCGTGCGAGGGTGCAGCGGCATGGTGGCGACGGTGGGGGCGCGAACGACGCCACTCAGATCCGTCAGAATGTATTCCCGAAACTGGGCGGGCGTCGGGGACCCCTGTGGGGAGACCGACCCACCCGTGTGTGTGTTTTAAGGTATGTTGTTGGCAAGCCGTGTATTTTGTGTGTGTGTGTGTGTGTGTGTGTGTGTGTGTGTGTGTGTGTGTGTGTGTCTGTGTGTGTGTCTGTGTGTGTGACTCACTCACACCGACCCACCCCGCCTGACCACGCCCGCGGGATTCGGGAGAGTTTAAAACCTTAGAAAAAGAAACGGACGCTTCATCGACGTTCGTTCGCACCGCGCGGAGGACATACGCCCAGGGTGATCGGACGCAAGAACGCGCCTCGCCTGTTGGTGCATGCCAGCCAGGCACCTGCTCGCGCTCCTCGGGAAAGCTCTCGTGGCCCATGCTTGGCTCGGAGGCACGTCCGCACCCTCGCTGCCTCCTCCACCACAGCCACCACCCGATTGCTGGTTCATGGGAAAGAAGGTTGATCCAGAGCTCTGTATCCTACCCCCGCCGCCCGTGCCAAGCCCTCCACCACCGCCTCCGCCGACGCCCTTTCCACCTCCTCAAAATTCCACTGGGTACCTTCCTGAAACCGGCGACGACCTTCACGCAAGAAACGTGATGTACGTGGGCGGATGCGTGTCTGCCCTGGCCGTGACGGGCATGGTGGGTGCCTACGCCTACTCGCAGGTCGACGAGCCAACCTCCACTGCGGGAGCCGCAGCTCGCAGCTTCAAGGCTGCCGTAACAGGCGTGTGTGCCCCCCCCGTGACCAATCCATTGCGTGCTCATCTCCTTCCCTTCGCGGCCAGGTCGACTTGCGGATCCCGTGAAGGGAGGGGTGCCAAAGTCGAATCCCAAAGAGGTGCATGCACGGCCGTTGCACTACCACCGCTCCGAGGCCATTTCTGAAAGCACCGATCGTGTATCAGGTGTACGCCTCGCTGCCTCACCAGCCGAGAGCGAAGGAACCGGGAGGGGCGTATCAAAAGCTCGCCGAGGATCAGATGGAGCCGGGTGGTGCGGCCGCTTAGCAATTCTCTCCCCCCCCCTCCTCCTTTCCGGTGCTCCTCAGTCCCGGGCTAGGTCGCTCCTAGAGGAGCTCGAACAGGGGAGCTAGGAGGAAAGCATCCCGCAAGGGTGGACTACATGGGTTGCATCTAGTGACCTCTGGTCGAGTATTGCCGCACCAATAGATGGCGATTGCGCCGCGGTGGCAGGCAAGAATGGCATTCTTTTTTCGGACTGTCCCCCCCCCACCCCGAACTCGCCACGGCGCCATATGGGGTCAGTGCACTCGTCGGTCGCGACACGTCTCTCGAGCTTGCAGCGTGTCTCACGGCTTGAGCCCTCCTGGCTGCGTACAATCTCACAACGCTTCACCCGGTCCGCAGAAGCTGTTCTGGAGAAGCCAGCGTCGCCAGTCATCGTCCGATGCGGGCAATACAATGTGCTCGCATCGTACCTGGGGGATAATCGGCAGCCGTGGTTCTTGCATGGGCTAAGCACGCTTACCCAGGATCGCCGTTCAAAGATCATCGAGAAGTTCTACGAGCGTGACGAGTCGGGGCGATACAAGAATGTTGGCTGGCCGCGGTGGGCGGAGGAGCTGATGACGGCGGAGGAGCAGCAGCTCGTCGAGGAGGAGCACGAGCGTCATTTTAAGTGGGAGGCGCGGAAGGAGCGACTGTTGCAGCGTATTGTTGCGCTGGACGCAGACGTGCTCTCCCTCGTCGAACTCGACCGCTGGGAGGACTGGTTCGCGCCAGCGCTCAAGCAGCACGGCTACTCATCAATTTGGTGCAAGCGTCCGCGCGAGACCTCGCACGATGGATGCGCTGTGTTCTGGCGAGACCCCTTCTCGCTGATTGCCCACAAGAGCATCGAGTTTATCGACCGGGCCGACCCCGTCACAGGACGCACCTACAAAGATCGTGTCTGCATCTTTGCGCTCCTGCAGACCACGTGTGGCCAAAGGATGCTCTTCCTCTCGACGCACCTCGCGAGGAACCCTGACGACCCAACCATGGATCGCATCCGAGTGCGCGAGACAGCACAACTTCTCTACGCGCTCACCGCCTTTGCCCGCGAGCATGGGGCGATCGACGCGCCCGTGGTGATGGCGGGGGATTTCAACACCACAAACTTTCGTCAGCTAGCGGCAGCGGCCAGGACGCTCTTCGAGCTCAGCCACGAGACGGTGCACCCATTCGTCTTCAATGCCTTTGCGGCTGCCTCCCAGCCCACATCGGTCACTGCTTGCCGCAAGATGTGCATCGACTACATCTTTTTCGAGCCCTCGAAGCTCGAGCTGCTCGAGGTGCTCGACCAGCCAGCCCTCGAGTGCTGCAAGCCGATCCCGAACGCCGAACACCCGTCGGACCACCTGCCGGTGCTGCTCACGATGCGTTTCCGGCCTTCCGCATACCACCAAGTCCATCTGGCTCGTGCTTGGGCGCAGATGCTGCTGAGTCACGACGGCATCAGCGACGTCCTCGACGAGTCGCAGTGCAGCGTCCCTCCAGAAAAACGCCTCGAGCGGCCGCTCGCGTCGACGCAGCTCGACGCAGCCTTTGACTTCTTTGCTGGCAGCTGCGCCACCCACGACAGCATTGGCGAGGAGGCGCTGGTTGCTCGCTTCAGAAGCCTCGGCAGCGACTTGGCTCCTCACGCCCCGGCACTGGTCAAGATCCTGCGCGAGGCGTCCGTCCCGGCGGATGGAGAACCATTCCCGCCGCTCAGCCGTTCGACATTCAGGGACTGCTACCTGCACGCGCTGCGCATGCAGGAAAGGTCCTCGCGTGATGTCCAATGGGCCTTCGCATTTTTCGACGCCGACGGCAGCGGTCGGTTGCGACACGAAGAGCTCCGCACCGGCTTCGCGGCGGTCTGTCCCTTCCCCATGTCTGAAGCAAGGCTGGACGAGATATGGCGTGCGTGCGATGGGAACCACGATGGCCACGTATCGCCGCATGAATTCTTTGATGCCCTCTTCCGTGCGAGGTATGGACTGCCCCATCCGGTCTCGCGCCCGCTGTCAGCCGCGGAGGCGGACCCAGCCACCGTGGATCCCCCTCATTCGCAATGACCCGCGAGCGCGTGGTCCCCTGCTGCCGGAAGGACGGCTCCACTCTGATGAGTACTGAGGTAGCAGTATGCATGATGTACGTTTTCAGTCATTTGGGCGGGCTGCCTCACACGTCACACACGCGGCGCGGCGCCCCCTGTGTGGGCTGTGGCTGGTCGAGGGCTGGTCGAGGGGGACCCCGGGAGGAACCGCCCCAGCCGCCCGCACGCCGCAGCCCCGCAGCCCTAGCCGCAGCGCCACCCGGGCCAGCCGCCACCGCGCCAGCCGGGGGCGCGCCCGCGCGCTAAAAACGAGGGGAGACAGCGCTCTCAGCTGATAACAGCGGGGGTCGCCCCGCACTGGCGCCACGCTCGCACTCCACCAGGGCGCAGGGGGAATGGGAAAGGCTACGCGCGCGCAAGCGTCTATCAGTTAAAGAACAAGTTGTACCTATTCCCCACACGTACGGGCTACGGCGGGGCGCTGGGCTAAGAGTCAGAGCTCAAACGAGCCGCGGGCGAGAGAGAGCGAGACACACACACACACACATGCACCTCCCCTGCGGCGTTGAGCCGTAGCGACAACGAGTTTACACTCCCTCCCACTCTCATGCCAGACATGCCACTGTAGAGCTGCCGGAGGACCGGAGCCAGTCATCAGATGATGATATGGGCAGAGTGTTCGGTCCACGGCCCCTCGAGAGCGAGGCGCGCGCGCTGCGGCAGCCGCGCCTCCTCTGTTGCACAATAGTTGTTCGGTGGCGGCGCCGTTAGCGCATCGTACCTGCCGCCTCCGCGCGCCCCGCGCGCGGCCGCTGCGGCTGCAGCCCGTCCGCTGTGCCGGGTGGGCCCGCAAGCTCACTCGGTGGCGGCGAGGATGCCCGCCACGAGCATAATGACGTGCGCCGGCATGTGTCCGGCCGGCGTCTGCTTCGGGTTGAGCTTGAGGCCGGCATACGTCGGGCCGAGGAAGGCGCAGCCGGACATCATGATGGCGGCGAACTTGGACGTGTCGGCGCCCATCGCCTTGGTGTGGATCATGTGCGAGAGCAGACACATCAGGAAGCCGATGAAGCGTGCGAAGAAGATGTGGTACTTGTCGGGCGACTTGCTGAAGTTGATGTCGATGAGGAATTTTGGCACGAGGAGGAAGCCGCCGCCGTACGCGGCGCCGGTGGCTACCGCAAAGTTCAGGAAGGTGACCGGGCCGGTGGGCACCTCGATCTGGAGCCGACTGCCCATCGCAGCATACGCGAGCAGGAGGCCGCCGAGCGCCGAGATGCCCGAGAGGACTCCGCTCTTGGTCGGCTTGATTTTGGGCAGCGCCAGCGCGGGCGAGGCCTTGACCTTGGGCGCCGGCTTCGCCTTGGAGGGCGACTTTTTCGGCTCCGACCTGTGGGGCGAGGGTGGGGTGGAGCGTCAAGATCGCCCCGCTGCGCGCCGCGCCCAGGGTCGGCAGCCGGGCGCAGGGCGGAGCAGCGCACGCTGCTGCTGAAGGTGAGAACTTTGCAGGCGACTTGGTGCGGCGGGGCGACGAGCGCGTGCGTCCGGAGACTGGCGAGGGCATCGTTCTTTCTTGCGAGGCAGCACAGTTCGAAGCAGCGGATTTAAAAAGGCTGACAGAAGAAAAACGATGTCAAACCACACAGATAGCATGATGACCTCCGCCTTCTAGAGCCGTACACCGTCCTCGCACCTCGGTCGTTGCACACACGTCCGGGTATAAAGCCGTCCGACTCGAGAGCGTGGCTCTCAACAATGTCCACGCACTGACTGGAAAGGGGCCTTTTCACGGGGTCTTCATGGGGGCGCGATGCTGGTGGGGCTGCTGAAAATCAAATCGACGAGCATAAAAAGAATTTCGGTATGACTGCACTCCAAGTGCTCCAAGTGCCGCACTGGGCACGGGACCCGGACAGCGCCAACAGCCAACACCCAACCGTGGAGGTACAAGTGTGGTTCTCTCTACTCTCTCGAAACGAGGAGAGTGGATCTTGAGCAACGACCCACCAACACAGGAGATAAAAGAAATCGCGCTCCGTCATGCGGATGGGAGGGGCATGTGCGGGCCCAGGCCCCAGCCCCCCACAGGGCGCTGCCTGGGCGCTGTGCTCCAACTCGTCCATGGAGCATGGTCCAAGGAGAGTCCAAGCGCGTCGGCTCCAAGTGAAAATAATGAGCGGCAGGCGCGGCAGTGGTCCAGGTGCCCCAAGTGCCATTCTTTTAAACGAAAGCTGTAAGCTCACAGAACGCCGTTCGCCGCGAGGAAGCCCCCGACCAGCGCGGCGCTGACCGCGGCCGCGCCGCCGAGCAGCTTGAGGTTGGGCGTCAGGTTGTCGAGCGCCTCGCCCGAGCGGAACTCGAGCGGCGACTCGACCATCCCCTTCAGGTAGGACGCGCTGCCGCTGACCCTCTTGCCGGCGGGCAGCCACGCGTCCGCCTCGAGCCTGCCCGCCGGCGAGTCGAGCGCGCCGATGCACATGCCGCCGCGCTCGGCGCTCGGCTTGCCGCAGAAGAAGAGGCGCAGCCCGCCGCCCTGCCGCCCGTCGGGAGGGCCCCGTCACTGGCGTGGCGGCGCGCGAGCCGGCGGGCGCGAGGCGGGCGGAACGGAGTGGGGGAGGGGAGGGGCGCGCTCGGGGAGGGGCGCTCGTGCGGGAGGCATTGGTGGGGCTGTGCGGCCGTCGCGCCGGCAGAGCGACCGCGTACGGCGTGCCCACAACCTGCGCGGTCCAGTCGCCGCCCGCGCCGCCGGGCTCGAGCAGCGGCGGCAGGTCGAGCCGCTCCCAGCTGCGACCACCTACGTGGCACGCCGCGGGGCGCGTCATGCACGCGCCGGCTCGACGGCCGAGCCCCGTCCCCCCTCTGTGTGGCCGCCGTCGGCGCTCGCCGCGCCGCCGAGCCGGTGGGTCCCGCTGCCAGCCTCGACGCCCTCGTAGATCATCAGCAGCCGGTCTCGCCACGGGACCACGCAGCGCGTGCCCACGCCCTGCTCGTCCCACGCGCCTGCGGCACGCCGTCCGGCGCCTGGGGGTGAGCGGGCCCTCGGTTGCACGCGCGCGCCCCGCGCGCCCCGCGCGCGCCTCCCTCTCCGGGACCGAGCGCGAGCCCTTCGCGCGTCCAGCTCGCGCCGCCGTCGTCGCTCCTACAGGGAGGGCTCCGAGAAGGCTCTCGGAAGGCTCCTCGCAACCTGCGGCTCCGCGTCGCCGCCGCCGCTCCGGCAAGAGAAGGCGCGCCAGCGCCGCCCGTCGAACGAGTGGTAGAGCATCCGCCACGGGCCGCCCGTCAGCGCCGGAGGGAGCACCCGCGGCCAGGAAGCAAACAGGCCTTCCGCCGCGTCGGCGCTGACGACGGGCTCGGGCTCGCGCGCCCAGCTCAGCCCGCCGTCCTCGCTCGTCGCGCGCCCGATTCGCATCCGGATGCCGGCCGGCGCGCCGTCGACAGCCTCGTCGCCCGCCGCGAGGTAGTACATCGTCAGGCTCCGGCCGTCCTCATTCCAGTGCACGTCGCCCACGCCCACGTGGAGCGAGTCCCACGCGCCGCGCTCGCCGGGCGCAAACACGCACTCATCCGTCGCCCGCGTCCAGGTGAGGCCGTCGGCGCTCGTGGCGAGGCCGCACTTGCCCGTCGGCAGGAACGGCGTCGCGGCCGCGTCGGACCAGGTCCCGTCCGACCCATAATAAAACATCCGCCAAGGATCGCCGGCCACGCCTTCGCGCGGCAGGAGCACCACGGGAGAGGCGACATTGGACGAGTCCCAGCGGCCAGCGGCCGACGGCTGGAGGACAGGCAAGGTGCGTGTGGCGACGGTGCCGGTGCTGGTGGCGACGAGAGCGGAGAGCATTTCGCGCAACGCTGGGCAGGCCGCAGGCCGCCCAGCTGGATCGAAAGCGATTTCTTTTTTATGTGGCTCGACAACAAATTTCTCCTACTCCCTGCCCACTCCATGCTGTGATTCTCTGTGAGCTCTGTGCTGGACGCCAGCACAGCCTCGCCCTCACCGCCGACGGAGCCGTCTGGAGCTGGGGCGACTGTCGGCGTGCAGCTAGCTAGCTGGTCGGCCAGCCGGGCGGCGAGCGCGCGGTCCGGCGCGAGAGGACGCCGCGGCGGGCTTGACCGGCCTGGCCATGGAGCGCCGGCTCAGGCAGGGCGCGGTTGAGGGCGAGAGCGAGGGCGCGGGCGGGCTCGGGCCGGTGCTGCCCGTGCCGGTCGAGCCGAGGAGGCGAGGAGGCAAAACTGGCGGGGAGAGGGCGTCGGAGTGGAGCGGGCCGTGCACCGCGGAGGAGGCCGCCGCGCACCTGCGGCTGGGCGCGCAGCGGGCGTCGGAGGGGGCGGGGGCGGAGAGGGGCGGGAGGGGGTGGGTTGCATGCAGCCACCGGGCCGTGCATAGATACCGGTAGACAGGGGCGGTTTGATCACGGACCGCACGTACGTGTTCGAGATGGTGGCCGACGAGGATAATAAAGAAGAAAGAAAATTTGGAGTGCCCCGCCCCTTGCCTCGAATTCGTGCCTCACAACCTCAGCACAACCCGCCCCAGGTGCACAATCCCCACGGCCGTGAGCTCCGATGGTGGCGGAAGCCACCGCCGCCGTCCCCTTCACCGCCGTCCCCGGCTCCGCCACCTACGCCACCGTCTACTCCGCCTAGTTGGCGATGGAGAGCAAGTCGTGGAGCCTCGAGGCTAAAGGTGGAAGTAGCAAACAACTCCGGCTATGTCAACATCGGCGTCGCCGTCAACGCGTCGCTTTCCAACGTGAACGAGTACAACTATCACCTCCACGTCGGCTGGAAGGACGGCGAAAATTGCGGCGCCTCCACCAGGGGCGGCCACTACGACCCCACTCGCGCGTGCGGCGGCGCATCGGAGGCCTTGTGCGAGACAGGTCGCCCGGGACTCGCACACTCGCTTACCAGGCCGACTCGCCGGACTACGCCAAGTGCAGCACCACCAACCAAGACAAGTGCGAGGTGGGCGACCTTTCGGGCCGCTCGGGCAAGGTCTCCGTGGGCGGCACCACGCTCACATCCTTCTACTTCCCGGCCTTCAAGACCGACTTCGAGCTGAACAACACCATCGACTCCCCCACACGCCGCGTTCGCGAGCCCGCCAAGTGGAGCTCCCTCGTGATGCACTGCGACACCTCCGGCTGCGGGCCGCGTGTGGGGTGTGCCAAGTACGAGAAGGTTGACTGCGAGGTGGTCGAGGCAGACTTCGTCAGCGTCTTCGGCGAACCGCGCCGCTAGGCGGCGGGGAGGTGCGGAGGCCCCATAGCCGCTTCCCTCGCGTGCTTTGCACCCTCCGCGGCGATCGTGTGCACAACACGTGACGAGGGCGAGGAAGATGGCCATTCGAACCGCCTCTCGAACCGCGAGGCTGTGCCGTCCGGACGACTTACTTCGTCCCGATGGCCCCTCGCTGCATGCGCATGTGAGACCCTCTCCCGCTTGGGGGTCTGTCTCTCGTCTGTTTCTGGTCTGTCTGAGGTACGGACGTACGGTAGCGCGTCAGCCGTCACGTCGTGGGATGCTCGTTCGCGATCGTCCGTCCGTCTAAGTGGGTGGGTGGAGGGTGTGTTCGGGATCCGTGCGACCCGGCCGCCCGCCGATGATCGGACCGAGTGTCCCATGCATGTGTATGTTATGGCGTGGGTGTTTGTTCATTATATGAATCTTGAATGGTTCGGGATCCTCACGTCGATATGCATGCCACACACTGTCGTATGCCGTGCCCCTCAACCTCGGCCGCAAATGCGTCCATACACCATACCAACTCAGCCCTGCGGCGGCTGAGGCCGAGACGGAGCGCGATCCGAAGCCGAACCCACATAAGACATGCGTCAGCCGTCACGCTTGGCGATGGTCATGGTGGATGGAGCTCGAAGACGCACGCGCACGAGATCCCCCTTGCCCATGCCAAATAAATAAACAAAACGGTCAAGCTCTGAGACGAGATGGGATTTAGGGACATACATGAACATGTGTCCCCGCCCTGCACGATCTTGGTGTGAGGGATCTTCAATCCGCCTTGCTTAGGGGACCCCTAGGCTTAAAAGGGTGGGCCCTGGGGCGCCTGCGGCTTAAACGGCTTAAAACTTGCCATGGCAAGTTTTAAGAGCTGCTGGGCCGCCGATTCCTTAAACGGTCTTAAACGCTTAAACGGTGCGGGAGAGCTCCCGAGGTCGATGGTCCGGGAGGCTCGGTAGACACGCCGGAGGCCGGGAAGCTGGCTACAGTCAGCTAGCACGCGTCCCCTATGCGAGTATGGCTCCTGCCAGTGCACCAGACTTACAGATGTGTCTTCAGAGGCGGGTTTGTGCCTAATAACGGCAGTATTGGAGAAAACGGCGCGGAACCCAGCGACGCGTGCCGGCGAGGCCGATTTTCTTAAACGGTCTTAAAAGAGGGACCCCCCGTGCCTGCAATCTCTTAAATGGCAAGTTAAGCCCCCAAACCTCCTCGTTTCTTATAAGGCCTTGAAAAAATACGGGCCTCAGAACCCTAGGGGTCCCCTACTTAAGCCGCGTTGTGCCCATGTGCCCTTCTGCGTTCTTGAAGCCCCCGGTTCTGCGTTAATTTTAGAAATTTAACGAAATAGTCGTAGTCACCGAAATATGTTTAGCGGTCGTGTGCTCAACGCATCCCGAGTTTACGGCCCGCACGTCCTCATCTCGACCGACCCCCTCATGCTCATCACCTGACTCCACATCGCCCGCCGCGCCGCCGCCCCGCCCCCCGCGGCCGCGCGGCGCCCCGCGCCGCGCCCCCCGCGGCCGCGGCCTGAGGTGCGAACTCCTGTCGACTGAGCACTGACATGAAAGACACCAACACTTAGCTTTATACTCCGCGCAATACTGTGTTGGTGAACGGTAGGAACGGGTAGAAGAAGGAAAAAGTACTATGCGATGGCGGCCGACCAGACGCGGCCCGCCGTCTGCCGAGAGAGAACGCCACTCGGGAGCGATGACCGAAGGATGCGGTGGGGGGGGAAGGGGGGGGCACCGTCATCCGGCCGCCTCCTCCTTTGCTGCAGCGGCTGGCGCTGTCGTCACGCGCGGCTTCTTGCGGATGGCAAAGGGCGCGTCATCTCCGCCGCCGGCGGGGTTGGAGGCCGCCTCGGCCTCGGCCCGCCGCATGGCCTCGTCGGCTCGCGCGTGCTTTCGGTCGCGCGACGCCTGCTCGCGCGCCGCGCCGTCGCCCGCCGCCGCCTTGTCGAGGGCCTACACGCCACCCGCGTCACGCTCAGGCGACAGCCTCTCTGACGCGCAGCGCCTCGCAGATGCCCCGCCTGCAGCGCGCTGCTCAGCGACTTGCAGCGCCCGTTGATGTCCTTGATCGCGCCCACGGGCGGCATGCCCGCGGCGGCGTCGACGGCCGTGCCGACCACGCCGAGCCGCTGCCGCAGCTGCCCCAGCGCCGCCTCGCTCGCCGGCTCGCCCTTCTCCCCAGCTGCGCGCGCGAGCCACGCGTCGATATCGGCGCCGGCGGCGTCGGCGGCGCGAACGATGGCGGCGAGGGCGATCTGCTGCGGCGAGTGCAGCAGCGGCGCGTCCGAGCACAGGGCGAGGTTGAGGAACTGCCGCGCAGAGGCCTCGACGGCGTCGGCCGCCGCGGGAGCGAGGACGGGAGGCTCGGCGGGCTCGCCGCCACCGCCGCCGCCACCGCCGCCGCCACCGCCGCCGCCGCCGCCGCCGCCGCGCAGGGACTCGAGCGCCCCTCGGAGCGCGCGGAAGGGCGAGCGGACCACCAGCTCGTAGCCAAGCAGCGAGAGGAGCCGCGCCTGCAGGGTGAGCCGCGCCGATCTGGCGGAGACCGCGGCGCCGACGGCTGCGGCTGTGCGGTGTGGCGGGTGTGGCGGGTGTGGCGGGGTGGTGCCGTGGAGTTGGGGGTGCGGTGGGCGTGCGCACGGCGGCCGAGCCTCAGGCATGCGATGGGATCCGGGGATTGAGAGGCGGGCGGGCGAGGCGGGCGGGCGAGGCGGGCGGGATCCTCGTTGTCGAGAACCGATCGGCCCGCCGCGGAGCGCTCGGGCTGCTCCTTCTCCTCCTGCTTGAAGTGGCGAGAGTACTTGACGAGGACCGTCAGCGGGATGTGCTCCTCCTCCACCTTCCCAGCCAGGTAGATCGCGCCGAGCAGCAGCTCGCGCAGCTCCACCTCGACGACCGACTTGCGGAGCAGCGCGCGGCGCACGAAGTAGTGTGCCGTCGTCATGACGCGCGGGGTGAAGCGCTCGGGCGCGTTGGAGTTCTCGGTGCGGCCCATCTCCTGCATCTTGTGGTGCCAGTACTGCTGCAGCAGCAGCTCATCGGAGACCGCCAGCCGGGCGGCGGCGGGCACCGGCGACGCCTTTGCGAGCCTCTCAGCGACGTGCCGCACGCGGGTCTCGCGCATCGACGCAAGCTGGGCCGCGGTGAAGGTCCAGTGCCGAGCCTGGGACGACTCGGCGAAGTTCATGATGCTGCAGGCACAGCTGCAGGCACTGGGAAAGCGCCGCTTCGCGCAAAGCTACGATTTCTTTTTTCTTGTCTCTACTCACCGTCCATAACTGCCATAAGGGCCCATAACAGCCATAAACCCATAACATGTTATGGGCTGCTATGGGAGGGCCGTCCCGGGTCCACGGTGTTATGGCCCGAGAGGCCACGCCGGACTGCTCGCCGCTGGAATTTTCGCTTCGCGCGCTGCCGCGCGCGCGCGAGGTAGGTTCGGCATCGATCGCCAAATATTTTCTCTTTTGCCCTCAAGTTAAATTCAATAACATCAACCTGCGTCCTTCCTGCCTCCTGAGGCTGAGCGATGGCTTCAGATTGCTCAATCAAGACCCGCCCTCCCCCCCCCCCCCACCCACGCAATTTGCTTCCCGTTTCTAACTCGTACTCTCTGCAGCTCTGCACGCTTCCCTCCATTTTTAACTTGTATGTCTTTCTATGTCTTTCCCGCAATTTAACTCACGTCCTTTTTCTTTCCTTTTTCCACTCCATGTCTCGAGGTTTCTAAAAAGTGGAAGCTGGCTGCTCCCGCTTTTTAGTAGTTAAAGCTCCGTGCGCGCCAGTCCCGCGTGCCAGTGTCGTGCGAGGGGCACTTGGAGTACTTGGAGTGCTATGAGGTGTTATGAGGTGTTATGAGTGCTATGAGGTGTTAAAGAGCGAGGGCCCGGCACGGCGCCCTACTGCTGGTACCTGCAGATTTCCGGCGAGCCGACCTGGGACCAGGAGTATACGTCATTCAAGAAAATGAAGGACATGTGGGACGGCTGGACAGGCAAGAATGAACGACGTGCGCAGGCCCGGCGCGAGAGCGCGCAGCAGCAGGAGACGGATCGCCAAGGCCACCGTGACAGCTATCGTGATGCAGCTGCTGCTAGTCGTGCTGCCACCAACGCGGCTTCCACGGCGCTGTTGCCCCACGAAGAGGCGCAGGCTTCGATCCTCGAGTCACGCGCAGGCGCAATGGCGGCAACTCTGTTGGGAGCAGTGGGCGCCGATGGGCTCGTTCCCTTTAAGCCGATGGTGTTGGGCTTTGAGCGGCGCCGACATGAGCAGCTGCAGATGTGCCCGCAACTCTGGGGGGTGGCGTATAAATTTGCGGGGGAGGACGGTGCACGTATGATTGTTGACAGCCCTGAATGGTTGCACAATTTCCAGTGCCACGGCCCGCACTGCGAGCAGCCAATTTTCGAGCCTCACACGAGCCCGTCGGATTGCCGGCTCATCCACTTGTGCGACGGACGTGGCGAGACAGATGCAAGGGACGCAGCAGCTCTGCCTTCATTGCCGCGTTTGCCACCCATCAGCCTACCTGTGCCACATCTCGAAGACGTCAAGAGCCGCTTTGAGTCAGGAAGATCCAGCGGGATCATGTACGACGCAGAGGCGGAGGCGGCACGCCAGGATTGGGACGGCGAGCATGGCAAAGCAGAGCCCTTCTATGCTGTGTGGAACGGCCCCAAGCTTGACTGGCCAGCGTACCTCAAAGCTGAAGTCTTCGAGGGCGACCCGTCAAGGTGGCTAGAGATTCAGGTGCAGTCGTCAGCAGAGGATGATGCAAGCGGACTCTCTCGACACTCGAGAATGGAACTGGCTTCGCTCGCGGTGGGATGACACAAAGGCATTGACCTGCGATCAAACTCTCGAACCCAATTCAATCTTTGCAGATTGGCGGCTAGAGGGTATGGGTGGACGAGGGAGTGAGGGGCTACTTCCTCCGTGGTTGCTGATTCGGCGCGTGCTCGCCATCATGGAGTCACG